TTCTAGGACTCATTCACATTCATGTCCCTATAGGTAAATACTTGGCAGCAGGGGAATTATATTGGGTGTAGAAACCTTAATGTAACTTGCTTGTGCCTTCAGGACATTACTAGGCAAATCACAAATATATCACTTTCATTTGATAATAGATTTCTGCTGTCAACGTCCACATTTGTGAAATGATGGGACAGATAACACCAAGGTCATGATGGGAATGCAGGTCAGGTTGCATGTAACTCAGTGACTAATATCAAATGATCATTTTCCACTAAGGTTTAATAATATGACAATAATTTTCTCTAAAATGGAGAATACTTAACTGCAGATGGTTTTAGAGCCTTGCCCCTAATGTCCAAAGATCTCTTGTTTGATACAACTATAGGGTACCAGCAAAGGCTCCTAAGAGCCTCATTATCTGCCATTGAAACTTCACCTACCATTTGTTTATCAAGTCCAAGTATAGAAGCCTGCACACCAGCCTGTACCTGTTGTAGAGTCTTCTTTTGTTCCAGGCTCCACAAAAAGCTGGGAGCTTTCCATGTCACTTCATATATGAACCAAAATAATACACCTAAGAAAGTAATGTGCAGTCTCCAGATCTAAACAGGCACACCAAACATAAATATTTTGCTTCTATCTTGATGGTGGAAGGAGGAAGATGTAATGACTTGTCCTTTACATTAGAAGAAATATCTCTGCATGTCAACAACCAGTGAACTTGTAAAAATTTCTTTTTTAAATTGTTTTTATTGAACTATATAATTTTCTCTGCTCCTCTAACTTTTTTCCCCTCCCCATCTACCCTCTCCCATAATCCTCATGCTCCCAATCTTCTCAGATCTTGTATTTTTCTACTTCCCATGTAGATTGGATACATATATGTCTCACTTAGGGTCCTCTTTGTTGTCTAGGTTCTTTTGGATTGTGAATTGTAGGCTGGTTTTTCTTTGCTGTATGTCTAAAAGCTACTTATGAGTGAGTGCATATTATATTTGTTTTTCAGGGTCTGGGTAATCTCACTCAATATGTTTTCTAGATCCATCAATTTGCTGCAAATTTCAAGATATCATTTTTTTCCGCTGTGTGAATTTTAGGAAGTCTTTAATTTCTTCCTTTATTTCTTCCTTGACCCATTGATGATTCAGGTGAGCATTGTTTAATTTCCATGTGTTTGTGGGATTTCTGGAATTAGTGTTGCTGCTGAATTCTAACTTTAAGCCATGGTGATCCAATGATACATGGGGTTATTCCAATGTTTTTGTATCTGTTGAGGTTTGCTTGTTACCTAGTGTGTGCTCATCATTTTAGTATGTTTCATGAGGTGCTGAGAAGGTATATTCTTTGATGTTTGGATGGAATGTTTATAGATGTCTATTAAGTTCATTTGAGTCATAACATCTGTTAGCTCCCTTATTTCTCTGTTAACGTTGTCTGGCATAACTGTCCAGTGTTTAGAGTGGTGTGCTAAAAATCTTCCACTATTATTGTGTGGGGTTTAATGTACAATTTCAACTTTGGTAGTGTTTCTTTTACATATGAGGGCATTTGTATTTGGGGCATAGATGTTCTGTATTGAGATTTCCTCTTGATGATTTTTTCTGTGAGCAATATGAAATGTCCTTCTTTGTTTCCTTTGATTGATTTTAGTTTAAAGTCTATTTTGTTAGATACTATGATAGCTACACAAGCTTGTTTCTTAGATACATTTGACTGGAAATTTTTTTTCCCAACCCTTTACTCTGAGGCAATGTCTGTCTTTGAGTTTGAGGTATGTTTCTTGCATGCAGCAGAATGGATTCTGTTTATGTATCCAATCTGTTAGCCCGTGTCTTTTTATAGGTAAGTTGAGTCCGTTTCTATTAAGGGATATTAATTACCAGTGATTTCTAGTTTTACCTGTTATATTATTCCTGTTATTTTTTGTTAGTGGTGATGTTACTGTGTGTTTTTACACTTCTTTGGGATATGCTGCTGTGAGACCATCTATTGTCTGTGTTTTTGTGGAATTTTCTTCCAGTACTTTGTGTAAGGCTGAGTTTGTGGCTAGATATTGGTTAAATCTGGTTCTGTCATGCAACATCTTGTTTTGCCCGCCCCTATGGTGATTCAAAATTTTCTTTGGTATAGTAGTCTGGGCTGGCATCCATGGCCTCTTAATGTCTGCATAATGTGAGCAGGAACTTCTGGCTTTCATTGTTTCCACTGAGAAGTCAGATGCTATTCTGATGGGTTTGCCTTTATATGTTAATTGGCCTTTTTCCTTTGCAGCTCTTAATATTCTTTTTTTATTCTATATGTTTACAGTTTGGGTTATTATGTGGAGACTATTTTTTATCCAGTCTATTTGTTGTTTTGTAAGTTGCTTGTATCTTCATATGCATATCTTTCTTTAGGTTGGGAAAGTTTTCTTCTTTGTTTTTGTTGAATATATTTTCTGTGGTTTTGATTTGGACTTCTTCATCTATCCCTATTATTCTTAGGTTTGGTTTTTCATGGTGTCACACATTTCCTGGATATTTTATGTTAAGATTTATTTTGTTAGATTTATTGTTTTCTTTGACCAATGAGTCTATTTCCTCTATTCTATCTTCAACACTTGAGATTCTTACATCTCTGGTATTCTACTGTTGATGCTTGCATTTGTGGTTTCTGATCATTTTCTCATATTTCCATTTGTATAGTTCCCTCGGTTTGTGTTTTCTTTATTGTCTGTTTCAGTTTCAAGTCTTGAATCATTTCATTAATTTGTTTGATTGCTTTTACTTGGTTTTCTTCAAGGGATTTGTTGATTTCTTCCAATTTTTAATTTCTTTTTCTCAATTTCTTTGAAAGAATCTTTCATTTCTTCTTTAAGTGCCTCAAACACTTTCCTATTTTTTAGGCCATTTTCTGCTGCTTCATCTACATTGGGGTGTTCAAAGTCTTGCTGTCATAGAGCCACTAGTTTTTGTTGTTATGTTGCTCTATGTGGTGCTGGGTGTGTTCTTACCCGGTCTACCCATCTTTTCCTCTGATTGGTTTAGTTGGGGCTGTGTCTCTTGTGATCAGTCTTTCAGGTGCCAGTGGTCCCATGGTTCAGATGGTTTCTCTTCGTGGTGCAATCAGGGTCACTGTTCCAGTTATCCTGGAGGTCACTCACTGTTCCTGGAAGCTGCTTGATGCTCCCAGGGGTCACTCTGCAATCCCAGAGGTCATTTTTGCAGCTCCCATGGAGGTCATTTGCTTGGGGTTGCTACTGCTGAGGTTGTTGCCTTGCACCTACTCAGGCATAAGTCACTGTCTTGGTCCTGTTCCGATGGAGTTCACTGGCTCTGGCCTGTTTTCACAGAGGTTCCTGGTTCATGCCTGGTTCCACAGAGGTCTCTGACTTGGGCCTGCTCCCTTGGTGGTCAATCCCTTGTACTTGTTCTTGTGGTGGTTGCTGCCAAGGGCCTGCTCTGGCAGATGTTGCTGGCTCAGGCCTTCTCTGGTTTGAGCCTGTTCCAGGGGATGTCCCTGGCTCAGGCCTACACCTACAGAGGTACCTGGCTTGGGACTGGTACCACAAAAGTCTCTGGCTCAGGCCTGCTCCCTTGGCTATCACTCCCTCATACCTGCTCCTGTTCCTGTGGAGGTTACTGCCTCTGGCCTGCTCTGATAGAGGAGGTCCCTGGCTTGGGCCTGTTCCCACAAATTTCCCTGGTTTGGTCTTGCTCCCACAGAGATTCCCCTAACTTATAAGAATTTTAATTAGGTGGAAGGCTCTTGAATTTTGGTTGGATTTATGAACCATCCTAGATAGCCATATTGTTACCAATGAGTTCAAAGTGGTACTCAAATGGTCCAATCAAAATAATACCATCAAAATAGTTCACCAATGTGATATTTTGTGGAAGACACAGGTGACTGAGATCCCTTCAAAGTAATGACTTGTAGGCATGGAAAGGTAATATATCATTCATGTAAAACTCTGAAGAAAGACAGTCCAGTGCCATCTATCCTTCTATGATTTTAAACAGAGTGTTTAGTGCATAATTAGAGGTTAAACATTTTCATTTTGCTGAATTACACTAGAAATAACAATCATAGTTCATGAGGTCAGAAAGGAATTGGTAAATAAGGTTAACTTTCCAACAGACTCTCCTACATCCTCATCAAAATGAAGAAAACTCAAGATTAGATTGATGAGTAAATTACTCAACCAACACTTCTGGATCTTTTTCAGAAAACAAAGGCTCTGCATCTAAGGAGGCTCCAGTAAGAGCTGAGGGAGCTGCCACCTGTGCCCATGTCAGTGTGACTTTGCTCTCGATTTTGCCTGAACAAATAAAAACTCATCTTTGCCTCTTTTATCAATTTTAAAGTTTAGTCATGAAGTTTATATTCATTTCAAGGATTTGGTATCACTTCCTCAAGATTAATATCTTCCTTAATTATTGTGGCAACAATCCAAATTAATGACCAAGTGACCCAAAATTGAACAGGGATCTTTTCCACTTCTTTATATGTTTTTTTTTTTTCATTTTCCTTCTGAACTGTCCCATACTTCTTCACCTGAATCGACATCTTCGGGAAATCAGGAGTTAAAACCAATTCGCATAATGTATAATAGCTGTGCTTTTAATACTTGTGCTCATCCTTACATTTAAAGTGATGCGCTTGTCCAAGATAAGGCAAAGCCTTTCTGGTTTCTGCACCATTACTCCTTACTCACCTCTTTCTCTGAATTTAATTGAACAAAAACAACAAAAAATAATGGGTAGTATGAAGTAAACTCACTCCTAACTGCTATATTGTGAGGAACATAAAGACACTTTCCAAGAACAATTCTGCTTTGAAAAATCTTAAGTAAAAATTACCTTCTTCTGTTTTCTTGATGTGCAAGCATAAGCACTCAAAATTCTCATTTTTACATTACTTCAGTCCAGGACAGTGTTCCAACAATACACATGAAGAAAAGTGATTTTAAGAAAAAAAATATGACATCTACATAAAGAAATTTTTTTTTGAAATATAGAGTCTCTCTCTTCTCTATCACATACATATACATACATACAGATATATGTGTATGTATATGTACATATCTGCCTTTATTCCATTAACATACCGGGTGCACAAGGAAGGCATGCAAGTGCATCAGACCTCCAAACCAGGATTTACAGGCACATCTGGTTCACCTGATATGGGTGCTAGGAACCAAAATTGTACGACCAACAGCAGCAGTGCTATACTGAGTCAACTCTCCAGCTTCCAAAGATGTCATTATAATGCAGAAAATGAAGGTATCCTTCCTCTTTATTTCTTCTGCCTTACATCACTTGCCGGTGACGAAAGTCCCTGCTACTTGTACAGGGAAACAATGAGTGGATTTCAATCCCTTTGTAAATTGCTTATTGCACATTGCTTATTTTAACTGTTAACATAATTCTCTTGAAGTGAATGACCCCCACAAATGACTTAGCTGAGCAGAAATGAATCCACATTATACTATGGGGAAAAAAAATCACAAAGTGACATATACTTTTGTCTTTTATAGGAAAAAGTGTTTGACTGAATGCATTTCTACATGAAGCTGTTGGATCCCCTAGAACTGGACTTACAGATAGCTGTGAACTTCTATGTGAGTGCTAAGAATTACACTTGGGTCCTGTGGAAATGCAGCCATCTTTCCAGATTCCCTTTTGGGATTTTTCTTGAGAAAATATCTCACTATATAACTAAGGCCACCCTGAAACCCAGTATCAGGTAATCAGGGTTAGCAGCAATCACATTAACTGATAAAATTCTCTGCCATTCTTTTGTGTTGCTGAGAATATGACAGGAGTAAGTATTTCATCCTCAGAATAAAGTAGCATGACCCCCGAATAATGGATGACAATATAACTAGCAGTTTCAATTCATTTTATTATTCAAAATATCATGTCTTTCTGTATTCTTGGAATGCAATATGTTTACTTGAAAAGAGACAATCTTTTAACTAAGGAGTGGCTCTACTAACCTTTCTCAAGCACTGGTGAGCTAGCATGGTGAAAAAAAAAATGTATGTGGAATGTAAGGCTTGGCCTCATTTATTAGGGTCATGGGGATTTTCACCAGTGTGAAATTTTTCATGATTTTGAAGAACAATGCAACAGGGAAAGACTTTGCCGCACTGATTACATTCACTGGGTTTTTGTTGCATATGATTTCTGTCAAGATTGTGAAGAGGACTGTTTTGTGCAAAGTCTTTACTGTATTGATTACATTCATAGGGTTTGTCTCCAGTATAAGTTCTTTCTTTTATATGAATGGGACTGCTACATGCAAAGTCTCTACCAAATTGATTATATGTGTAGGGTACAGTATGACATCTTTCATGACTCTGAAGATGACTTTTACGTGCAAATGCTTTATCACATTGATTACATTCATAAGGTTTCTCTCCTGTATGACATCTTTCATGCCTGCGAAGGTTACTGTTGCACGCAAAAGTTTTACCACATTGATTACATTCATAGGGTTTCACTCCAGTATGAATTCTTTCATGACTGAGGAGATGACTCTTCCTTGCAAATGTTTTGCCACATTGCTTACATTCATAAGGTCTCTCTTCTGCATTACTAGTATGAATGAGAAAATTCTTCTCCAGTGCAAAGGATTGAGCAGGTTGATTACATAGATAGGGTTTCTCTTCAGTATGTCTTCTTTCATGACTAAGAAGATTACTCTTCTGTGCAAAGGCTTTACCACATTGCTTACATTCAAAGGGTTTCTCTCCAGTATGAACTCTTTCATGACTTCGAAGATTACTCTTCTGTGCAAAGGCTTTATTACATTGATTACATTCATAGGGTTTCTCTCCAGTATGAATTCTTTCATGACTGCGAAGATCACTCTTCTGTGCAAAGGCTTTACCACATTGATTACAACCATAGGGTTTCTCTCCAGTATGACTTCTTTCATGACTAAGAAGATTGCACTTCTCTGCAAAGGCTTTACCACATAGACTACATTCATAGGGTTTCTCTCCAGTATGAATTCTTTCATGAATGAGAAGCTTGTACTTGTGTGCAAAGGCTTTACCACAGTGATTACACTCATAGGGTTTCTCTCCACTATGACTTCTTTCATGTCTGTGAAGATGACTCTTTTGTATAAAGGTTTTACCACATTGATTACATTCATAGAGTTTCTCTCCAGTATGAATTCTTTTATGAATTTGAAGATAACTGGAACATGAAAAGGCTTTATCACATTGTGTACATACATAGGGTTTCTTCCCAGTATAAATTCTTTTATATATTTGAAGATAACTGGGACTTGCAAAGGCTTTATCATATTGGTGATATTCATACTTTTTCACATCAAAATGAGTTCTATGTACTTGATGAAGACTGTGACATGCAGAGACATTATCACTTTGATTATATTCATAGGGTTTTTCTTCCAAATGAGTTCTTTGGTGTACTTTCAAAGAAGAATCATATCTAAAGGCTGTATCATGCTGATTACATTGATAAAGCTCTTCTTCATTATTGGTTGTTTTGTGTGTTTGAAGATACATGGGATGGCTAAAGTCCTTAGTACAAAGATCAAGCTTATCAATTCCTATTCCCATATGAGTTTTTTCATGTCTTTGAAAAGAACTGGAATAACTCAGAGTTTTACAACACTGACTGCATGTATAACATACACTGTGAGTCACACTGCATGAGCAAAGTGAGCCAGGACAGACAGATGGATTTCCATATTCCTTGTTCTCATAAGGGTTTTCGCCAATGTGAGAGTGTAAACTTGTATCACAGCCATCATGGCTTCTCGCAGTGGGGACTACAACATTTCTCCTAACTGTTCCAGGAGGAAAAGAGGTATATTGCTTCTTTCCATATCCCTGATGCTCATATGGCTTGTATCCAGAGTGACAGTTGATATGCCTATTAAAGGAACAATAGCAAATAAAAGGTTTTTTGCTTTACATTCATATAGTCTAACATTCCGTGCCTCAGACATGGTATATGGATTCAGGATTCTACACCAAGAAAAATTCCCTGTCTCTTCTAAAGTGCTCCTCTCACTAAACTATGGTAAGTCACTCAATATAAGTGCATGAGGACCACTAGCTTTAATATGGAAGATTTGCTTATAAAAGTCCTTGGACATACTCTAATCCCCTTATCAATGTGTATACCTTAAATGATGATTGAACAGCATAACAATTCTACAACATGCCTCTCGTATGGCTGATAAAAATTGTGACATCTGTTTTAGTATTGTTTCCTTTCTTATCCATAAATAATACTTTCCACAGTGTTCAGCTTCCTGACATTGGGATACATGGTGTTGTGAGAATTTAATAGCCATCACACAGCTGTGCTAACTTATACTGTTGCTTTTTTTTTTAAAAGTTCAGGGTACATTAACCTTTCTTCAAAGATACATATGTATCAGCTTGCACATGAAAATTACCTTCCATTTCTTCTAGAACTTTGACAATGTTCTTCGATATTGTGGTCTTCCCATTTGCAACCTAAAACAGAGTATCAGAAAATATATGTGATACATTACTGGAAATTAGGCACAATTGAAATTGCTATTTTTTGTGAGTCTTTGAACAATGCCTGATTTATTCATTAGATTCTTCTTCTTTCACATTTAATATAACAGAAGAGTACCAATTCCCAAGAAAGGCTTTTCCCCTTAAGTTAAAAAGTAACAGAAAGCTCATTCTTACCTATAGAAATGAGGTTCCAGTAGGTTTCCAGCATCACATCTTTGTACAGATTCTTCTGGAAAGGATCCAGCAAAGCCCACTCTTCATGCGTGAAGTTCACATGCACATCCTCATAGGTCACGGCCTCCTAAAGCATCCCATATATGTACATAATAGAAATGTTGAGACCGACTACATTACAAAAGTACGTTTCATTGAGAATATATTTACATAATTTATCATGTTCAATGTATACTATGATAGGGTCTTAAAATAGTGAACGCAGTCCCCAACACATTTTAAAAGGAAACAGAAAAGGAGACTTATGCCTCTTACTTCTGTAGACACAAAATAGATTAGGGCATTGCCGGAAAAAAATGCCTAGTAAGATATACAGAGAGACATGCAAATAGATTAGTGCTATTTAGTATACATCATCAAAATTTAATCAAAATAATTAACTTCAAAAAAAGATAGATTAAAGGTTGGTGGGGTGCCAACCTCTAATCCCAAAGCTCAGGAGGCAAAGACAAGTGGTACTCTTTGATTTCCAAGCCATCCTGGTCTGTGCACAGATTTCTAGGACAGTCAGAGATACACAGTGAGTCCTTGTCTCAAATAGACAAGCAAATAGAAAACACTCAGAGGTTCACTCAAAAGTTCTGCATAGAGTTAAAACATTCACTCCAGTTCGGTACTTCTCAATCATAAACTGAATTGACTCCTAGTAAACTGTAAGGCTAATAATTTCTAGGAATAAATGTATTTTTAGTAAGTTACTGAGTGACAGATCAAAGAGTTCTCAAAATATTAGTCAATACTGAGCCTAAAAAAATAAAAAATAAAAATGATGGACTATATAAAGTTGTGTCATCACATAAGATCACTTGATGCTTTTGAAGAGGTCCTAGATCAGTTCTCGGCACCAACTATTCCTATCATCAGGTCAAGAGAATCCAATGCTCTCTTCTGACTTCAGTAAATATCAGGCAGACAAGTTCCAATTGCAAACACTTGCCAGCCAGCAGGAAAGCCTCCTGTGAGCAGGCTGCTCTACCACCACTTCCTATCTGCCCCCAAATCCACCCAACGCCCGCCACCTCCACTGTTCCCTGAGAAGCAGACACCACCTGCACCAATTGGACCAAGAGGTAAGTGACTGACCTCCAAGATGGACAGTTCAGTCTCTAGATCCTACACCCTGAGCATACCCTGTGCCCCTCCCCCACCAATCATGGCCACACTACCTTGCCAACAGAAAAGACTTCTGTGGGCTGGCTACTCCACCATCTCCCACACTGGATCCTGTAAACTACAAGTCCCACTGTGTCCCCAAACCCATCCATCTCCTGTGACCTCAGGGGAACACTAGGACACAGACACCTCCTACACTGATTGGACCAAGAGCGTACACTGCCTACACTGATGAGACCAAGAAGCAAAGACACTGTCTGCACCAACTGGAGGAAGAAATGAGTAGATACCACGGCAAGATTACATCCAGAAACCTAAATAACAATATGGCACCCCCAGAACCTAGTTCTAAAACAGTAAGACCTGAACATCCCAATGCAGAAGCAGAAAAAAACAACCTTAAAAAAAACTTTATGATGATGATAGAGACCTTAAAAGAGGAAATGAAAGATTCCCTTAAAGAAATGAAGGAAAAGACAAACAAAAATTAGAAGAAATCAATAAATTTCTTAAAGAAAGAAAGAAAAAACAAGAAAAAGCAATCAAACAGGTGAAGTAAACAGTTCAAGACTTGAACATTGAAATAGATGCAATAAAGAAAACACAAGTCAAGAGGATTCTGGAACTGGAAAACCTGGGTAAACGGACAGGAACTATAGATGTAAGCATAATCAACAGAATGTAAGAGTTGGAAGAGAGACTCTCAGGCATTGAAGATACAAAAAAGGAAATAGATTCATTGGTCAAAAAAAAAAAAGCCATTAAGGCCAACAAAGTCATAACACAAAAAAAATCCAGGAAATCTGGGACACCATGAAAAGACCAAACCAAAGAATAATAGGGATAGAAGAAGAATACCAGCTCAAAGGCATGGAATATTCAACAAAATCCTACAAGAAAACTTTCCCAACCCAAAGAAGAAAATGGCTATTAAGGTACAAGACATTTAAAAAACATCAAATTGACTAGACCAAATAAAAGTCCCCTCACTACAAAATAATAAAAACACTAAATATACAGAATAAAGAAAGAATACAAAGAGCTACAAAGGAAAAAAGCCACATAACATATAAAGGTAAAGCCATCAGAATAGTACCTGACTCTCAGTGAATACTCTGAAAGCCAGAAGGTCCTGCACAGACATTAGGTAGATAGAAAGAGACCATGGATGCCATTCCAGACTACTATACCCAAAAAAACTTTCAATCACCTTAGATGGAGAAAACAAGATATTTCATGTCAAAACCAGTAAAGCTGTAAACCTTACCAAAATATTAAAAATGACGATCTTTCCAAAAGCGATCTACAGATTCAATATAATACCCATCAAAACCCCTACACAATTATTTACAGAAATCGAAAGAACAGTATTCAACTTCATATGGAAAAACAAAAACAAGAATACCTAAAGTAATGCTGTACAATAAAGGAACTTCCAGAGGCATCACCAGATTTCAAACTGTACTATAGAGCTACAGAAATACAAACAGCTTGGTATTGGAATAAAAACAGACATGTGAACCAAGGGAAGCGAATTGAAGACCCTGACATTAATCCACAAACCTATGAATACCTGATTTTTGACAAAGAAGTCAAAATTGTGCAATGGAAAAGAGAAAGCATCTTCAACAAATGGTGCTGGCATAACTGGTTGTCAACATGTAGAAGATTACAAATAGATCCATATCTATCACCATTTACAACACTCAAGTCCAAGTGGATCAAAGACCTCAACATACATCCAGCTACACTGAACCTGATAGAAGAGAAAGTGGGAAGTAGCCTTGAACACATTTGGCACAGAACACTTTCTAAGTATAACCTTTGGGAGGAGTAGATGGGAGTGGGCTGGGGGAGGCACAGGGGGCAGGAGGATGGGTGAAAGAGAGAGCAGTGGTTGAAGTATAAAATGAAATGAAAAAAGATGAATAAATCTTTACTGGAACACACACAGACACACACACAACAAAACACAAAAAGAATCACAAAGAATGTCCCAGGAGAAAGAAGAGAAAAACATATGGGACACAAGTTACTAGAGGATTATGAAAAGCCACAAATCTGGACTAGGTATGGACTTCATTCACAGTTGATAAAAATGGCAAGCTGGGGGTGGGAAATAAACTCTATCTTCTGCAAATTTCATGTGCACACTTTACACTGCGCCATCTTCCCAGCCCCAGGAACACTTCAAGTACAATGTAGCTTCTGTATCTTAATGTTATTAACAGCAGAAGACATATTTATCTTGGAAGAAGGCTTGAACTTCCTGTTTCTGCCTCCAAAATAGTAGCATGAGAGGCGCGTGCCCTCATGGTGTCAATTCAATGTACTAATTAAACCAGACTTTATACAGAGGTGAATGGCAACTTCTTGAGGGGCAAAAATAAAGTGGAAATGACAATGCTCATTTTAAAATCTTTTAACTCTAGCCAGTGGCAAGTCTGACCATGTAACAGACATCACCACTTGGTCTCCTATTGGCCTAGGAAAATTGCATTTTATTTCTCAACAACACACTGTTGAATTGCACACCATGCTCCCTGGTGAGACCTTGATCCTATAATGACATTATTGTTTTGTGGTTTTGGAGCATGGTCTTGGTCTATGGTCTGGTCTGGCCTCAAGCTGGTGGTGATCCTTCTGCTTTAGCTTTCAAGTGCGGGAATTGCAACTGTGAGTCACCATGACTAGCTCAAGGAAATTCTCTAACAAAATATCACTCAGTGGCAGAATATTTGCATATCGTGTGTGAAGTGTTTGGGTTTGATCCGTAGCCCTCAGAGGGGGATATGTGGCCTCATTTTTCACCCAATATACCCATAAGCATATAAAATGCATGTGAGACTCTTCAAACCAAAATTAATCGAAAGGAGATGGGGACAGACACTGCATATTCGTCAAAGGAAAAATATACCATGATGACATTTCAATTTCTAACAGCTGCTCCCCCAAACAAAGGGCACCCTCGCTTGTAAAAGAAACACTACTGCATCATAAGTCAACTACTGAGCCTCACACACTGATAATAGGAGATGTGAATACCCCACTCTAAACAATGGACAGGCCATCCAGACAAAAGGTAAACAGAGAAATACTGAAATGACCACCTGAGAGCAGGATTGCTGCCATCCTTCAGAACTCAACACCAATACTAAGAAACAGGCTCAAGAGTCCCTAGGTGCAACTGGCTATTGTTGCCTCTGGATATTAGAGATTGTGGGGATGATGAAGTGCCTACACATCAGCACAAAGGTGGGCACTGGGTCCTTAATCTGGACTTTCTAAACAAAAGGCATTTGAAGCTCTAAAAGCAGTTCTGACTTCTGCACCAGCCAGAATTTCCAGATGTCTCAAACCCTTTTCATCTGTTTGTTCATGAAACAAAAGGTAAAAGAGGTTTTAACTCAAGCTTTGGGGCCACGGAAATGCCCTATAACATATCTGTCCAAAAAACTGAACTCTGTAGCCATAGGTTAGCCTGCCTGCCTAACAGCAATCGCAGGTACTGCTAGTTTAAAGAAAGCAAACAAACAATTTAACTCTTGGTCAAGATCTTATATTGACAGCACATCGTGACATGTGTGCTCCTCTGAGGAGCACCAAAACACTGACTGTCTAATGCTGTGTAGGACCCAGCACCACGCCCTTAATACTGGCCCACCTGACTCTAATTTGAGAAACCCACCAACATCAATCCATCTGCTCTCTTACCTGATGACACAGATACTCATCCATGACAGTCAGAAAAATGTATAATGAAACCAGGTACCTTGGAGCATCAGCAGTTTCACTAACTGAAATGACTTCGGAACTGTGGGGAGAGATTTACCCCGATGAGATTATGTTTGAGAAACCTCCCCAAAGTTTCCCAGGCTCAGAGCTGTCTAACCCTTGCTTTCTCAAGGCAACACAGGCACTCCAGTCCTCCATAATGATTGGCCTACCGTGAGA